CCTCTCCAGCCCACCCGGTATGACGAGGCACCTGGGGCTGTCAACTGGAGGCAAAGGCACAGTGCAGAAGTGCCTTGCGCCCTCGCGCCTCTACACTTCCGTTTAACGTAGTTGGGTCTGACGTTTGGGATATTCACAATACTTCAAAATACAATGCAGCCACCTTGTTAAGACATGAATCAGTAGGATTTTAAAAACCTTCTAGCTTTCTTAAGCTGCCACCTTTGCTTTAATATGCCTATTTCAAACTCCAAGATATGTTTCTATATTGGCGCAAAGCTTCAGCATAAGTCGAACTCTTCTCACCACAACTTTAAAATTTTTCTTTCTCTTCCTTTGCAGGGGCAATGAAAAGATCTGATTTAATAAACCAAACAAATGACTTCAAGCCGAAGTGACAATGTCAATAAGAGATGAGACTAAATAATCAAGCACACAATTCTTCATATAATTCCCTCACTCTTAAAATATTTCACCAATCCAAACCCCTAAAATGGTTAATATTTTTTCTTTTTATCTCATTCTCAGTGAAGTTTTAGAAGCCTTTCTTTCCTGTTTAGCCATTCAGGCATTTTAAAAACTGAGATAAATTATATAATACAAAAATAATCAAATAACCACCACATTCTAGATTAAAATATAAACCAATTACCAATGGGGCCCATTTGTTTAGTATTTTCTATCATATTTTCATAAGAAAATGAATGAATTCACTCAGCCATCACTCTATACACTCTTTAGCAAGATTATATTATTATGCCATCAACATAATAGTAGAAATCCCAAATTTAAGGTATTTGCTTTGTTGATTGACCTGTTTTACAACTGTAATCCTTATTATTTAAGAGGGAACTCATTTAAATAAGATTTTAAGACCCATATACAGTAATGTGTTAAGTCTTGGAAAAAAAAAGTTTTTTCATTAAAAATTCTCCTTTGAGATCCATTAACAATTCCACCAAGCTTACTTCATCATGTCAATCTAGTAATAAACAAAAAGGCTTAATTTGGAAATTCCTGAAGTAAAATAATATGAAAGAAAGATATAGAAGCTGAATTGATGTGTTTTGTTTATCATATAAATTAACAGAATGCATTAAATTAACATTTGCATTAAATTAACAATGCAAACTGATCAGGACAAAGGTCTATCTGGAGACCTTTCTATAAAAGGTATGTTTTTCAATAGAAATGGTACCATTTCTACAACTGATATTATTTAGGGACAGCCAATCAGAAAGCTTGGGTATGGCACCCATTGTGTCATGTAACATGTTTGGCTTTAAGCAAGGTGAGGTGGGAGAGGCGGCAGCTTCAAGGGAAGTTTATGCCTTCACCATCCAGGAAAGCTATGCTTGGTCCATTATTTCAATGTCATACGTCCAGCTCTACAGTTGTTGAAATGAAGGCATCTTCCAACAAAATACCTTTTCTTTGCCCCAAAATGATTTATGACAAGTGTAAATATTCTGTATCAAAGTCTACATAAAAATTATTTTGCAGAGGATTACGCATCTCTATGTAAAGTAAGCTAGACTAAATCATTGTATTTTAAACTTCCATCTCTATAACTCCTTAATTTAATTAACTATCTCATTACTCAAGAACAGGACAGATTAGATAGCTTTATAAATGACAAAACATCTAATATGGTTAGAAATATAACCTTACAGACTATATCATTAGGGAATTTTATTTCTAGGGAACATAATTTCCAAGAATATGGTTGGTCACGGATACTTACTTCTGTCTACAGAGAAAGCATTTGTTTAAATGGAAGCGAAGTGCTCTGCTTAGAACATCCCCACAGCCCCCTCACCACCACCCACCTATGCAGCTCTTCGTATGTGTGAGTCACTATTCAAAGTGCTTTACTTGCATATCACCTCACACAATCCTCATAACACGTACCTCCTAACAGGGCAGGGAATATTACCATCCCCCTTGTGAGGATGTAAAAACTGAGGCCCTGAAGGGTTTAAGAGCTTACCTAAATTCACATGACTAGTAAGTGACAGAATTAGAATTTGGATGCCAGCCAGATGACCCACTGTGCTGTGTTATCTTGTCTATTTATAACCTACTGTTGGGCTTCTAGTTAACTTTACTCTCAGAAAATATAAAACATCCATGTACTGGTTTCATGGCTTCACTTTACTATCACTTTAAAACTCACACCCTCTTTTTCTAACAAATGAAATCTTAGGCTGAAATTCAATATATGAAAACACAATAGCTGGGTTTTTCTAACTGAGGGCTGAAGTGAAATGCTACCTACTTTAAATCCTCCACACAGATGAAGGAAAACTTGAATTCATGAAATTAGAGTAATAATAGCTACAAGATTTTGAGCACATTTAGTGTGTCTAACACAGGAATAATTATTTTGTCTTATTTGTTCTATAACTACCTAATTAAGTCAGTCTATCCATTTTATAAGTCCTTTCGGCCTAGAAAAGTTAACTTAGTCACAGTCACAGAGCTAGTAGGCAGAAAGCCAGGGAGGGGGCTGACCCCGGGCTCGGTTACTCTAGGTTACACTGCTTAACACTCCCAGCTACGCTGAACTGAGCCTCTCTAGACTGAGTAACGCTTGTGCCACATTCTGACCAGACTCCTTTAATGTTCTCCACAAAAGCAGACCTAAGCTGCAGTAAGTGATGCTGGGGTAGATACTGGCCGAATAGTTACTCCTTATTGTAGCTACCTAGACACCTGGAAATTCATCCTTATATCTTCAAGGACATGTAGTGTAAGGCTGTTGTTCCTCTTCCTGGATTGTGTTTTTTATGTTAATATATGTTTAAAAGTGAATTAATTATTTTCTGTTAAGCTTTCAATTTTTGTTTTATAAACTCACGGGCAAAATAATACAAAAGGACATAAATCTGAGTGTCTGTGTTTTCCATATCTAAAGTCATTCATGCTGAAATTCCTATGACTGTGCCTCTGCCTCTCCAGCCCACCCGGTATGACAAGGCACCTGGGGCTGTCAACTGGAGGCAAAGGCACAGTGCAGAAGTGCCTTGCGCCCTCGCGCCTCTACACTTCCGTTTAACGTAGTTGGGTCTGACGTTTGGGATATTCACAATACTTCAAAATACAATGCAGCCACCTTGTTAAGACATGAATCAGTAGGATTTTAAAAACCTTCTAGCTTTCTTAAGCTGCCACCTTTGCTTTAATATGCCTATTTCAAACTCCAAGATATGTTTCTATATTGGCGCAAAGCTTCAGCATAAGTCGAACTCTTCTCACCACAACTTTAAAATTTTTCTTTCTCTTCCTTTGCAGGGGCAATGAAAAGATCTGATTTAATAAACCAAACAAATGACTTCAAGCCGAAGTGACAATGTCAATAAGAGATGAGACTAAATAATCAAGCACACAATTCTTCATATAATTCCCTCACTCTTAAAATATTTCACCAATCCAAACCCCTAAAATGGTTAATATTTTTTCTTTTTATCTCATTCTCAGTGAAGTTTTAGAAGCCTTTCTTTCCTGTTTAGCCATTCAGGCATTTTAAAAACTGAGATAAATTATATAATACAAAAATAATCAAATAACCACCACATTCTAGATTAAAATATAAACCAATTACCAATAGGGCCCATTTGTTTAGTATTTTCTATCATATTTTCATAAGAAAATGAATGAATTCACTCAGCCATCACTCTATACACTCTTTAGCAAGATTATATTATTATGCCATCAACATAATAGTAGAAATCCCAAATTTAAGGTATTTGCTTTGTTGATTGACCTGTTTTACAACTGTAATCCTTATTATTTAAGAGGGAACTCATTTAAATAAGATTTTAAGACCCATATACAGTAATGTGTTAAGTCTTGGAAAAAAAAAGTTTTTTCATTAAAAATTCTCCTTTGAGATCCATTAACAATTCCACCAAGCTTACTTCATCATGTCAATCTAGTAATAAACAAAAAGGCTTAATTTGGAAATTCCTGAAGTAAAATAATATGAAAGAAAGATATAGAAGCTGAATTGATGTGTTTTGTTTATCACTGGCACGCCCAACAACAGGCCTGAGGAGGTCACTTCCCAGGCCTCAAGCGTCACTGCACAGTGCTACAGTGAGCACGGCTCTGTGACATGGTGGCTCAGATGAGCGCAATGCCTGGGCTTCACACATTTGTGGTTGTATCTATTAAAAGAAATATATTACCCAAGAAATCAATACTGACAGCATATTATGCTCCTTGAAAAAATCTTTACCATATATGTAGTGTTCTTAATGTATTTAAATGAAAGAATGAGAAAAACCATTAGAAATTTACCATTCCAATTTTTGTGGAGATCCATCTTTAACTATACCTGTATAGAATTTTAGTTTACAAGTTGTTTTCATATGCCTCATTCACCAACATTTCTTTGTTAAATTTTAGTCCTCGTTAAGAGACCAGAAATACCATGCAATGGTCAGAAGAAAACAAACACGCAGAATGTCACAGCCTTTTCCACTCCTAACACATAAAAACACACACAACTAATTTGGTAACATCTTTCTATGTTGACAGATAGTGACCGCACTCGTGGGGGTGAGGATTTAATGATACGGGTAACTGCTGAACCACTGTGTTGGGTATCTGAAACCAGCGTAAGATTGTATATCAACGATACTCAAGAGAAATTCACATACAAGTATTTTCTATGTATATGAGTATACAGTTTGCTATTTGGTCACAGAACTTTATTATACTATAGTCATCAATAAAAAACAAAATCACATAATGTAGGTAAAAATTCTAATAAGAATGGTTTTGCTTTGACAGACATGAAAATAAAGACGTAAGCTAATGAGTTATTCATATGTAACTATAAAATGAAGATCAAATTCATCTTTTTTTATGAGAATGAAACCCCTCAATTCACAAAATGTTTACCATATCTTCCTCTGATTTTTAACTTTTAACCCAGCTAATACAATGAGAAGAACAGTAGAAAATTATAAAAACAAAGATTGTAAATATCTTACCATATACTCCTTTGTCTAAAAGTAGTAAAAATTCATCCACAGCATTACGCATCTCATACTCAGTAAGATCCAGCAACGAAACAACTTTGAAATCCAGCTGTCTTAGCAAGTTGGTCAACTCATACACATCCACCAAGGGAGCTTTAAGCTTGGGGTGCTCCCAGTAATTCATATTTCCTATCAAAAGAGCAACCTTGTCCTTTGCTGTTGAAAAGGCAGGGATTTAAAGAAGGACATAAAGATGAAAACCTATGGAAATCGTACCATTATAATAAAAAGCATGCTTTACAGATAAGATGTCATTATTATTGAATTTCATATTAGAATTATCACTTTATGTACAGATCAGTATACTCTATTGTGGAACACAGAGACTAATAAATCAAACAACTGAAATTAAATTTATTGATGCTTTTGAGAAACAGAGAAAGGATATTTATTATCTGTATATGAGGCATTATGGTAACTAACATTAAAGTAGTATTGTATTGAATTACAACAAAAGTGAAGAATATGCAACTATACTTTAGAGCAAATTTAAATAAGGAATGTTTTGAATTGGTCTCCCACCAAATTAGGTTCTGTTTTGCTGACAATGGAAGAGTTAAAAACAAACAAAAATACCAAAAAGAGGGACAAGAAGAATTTTCATCAGAGCAAGTAAGGGGAAATATCAAAAAGGAGAGAAAAGCAGGAACTTAACAAGTACTATATCTGTGTTTTTTCAATTGCTTTCCTGTCTCCTCTTAGCTTCTTTTAAAAATTTCCCATTTGGGTGAGATGTGGCTACCTTAGGGATATGTAAAGACATTTGTATGGATATCTTAGCAGTTTGTTTTCTGATATTAGGGCACTGAGTCTCTGCTCAAATATGTGTTTTCACACAAAGAATTTTTGTTCTTAAGGGGCAGAAAGATCCACACCTATGCCTTAAAAAGTACCTGCTGGCTTAATCTGGTGTATCCTTGTCCAAAAACAGCTGTGGAAGTCTGGTTTTCAAAACTGTACCTTTGCTAGTCTGGGGTGGGGTTAAATATTAAAGACTTGGGGCCATGTCATGACAATAGGAGCCTGTTATGACGTTTTTCTGGAGGACTGGCAGTGTAAACGTGCAGCATATGCTAGTGCAAATCAATGATGGAGACACAAGGAACAGTGGAGAAGGTGTAAGCAAGAGCATCTGGCACTGCCCGGCTGGCTGGCTGAAGAGCCACACTGGGTAGGATTGTGGCAGGGACTAGGTGACCAACCTCTGTCACAAAGTGCTACTAAGTAGTTATTTATAGATCATTATGAATACTATTCTTATCAAATTGAGACAGGCACAAATAATTATATTGGTGAATTGATGCCTACAATATGTTTCAAATCATGAGGTTGATTAAATTTCACTGAAAATTTCTGCTCTTTCCAGCAAACACTTTAGTCTAGTATTACACAAGGTCTGGAGAAAAACTAGCACCAACTCAAAGAATATGACTCTCTCAAAGTGGCATAAAACTCTATTTTGTCAAAAGCCTCAATACTTTTATGTTGTGGTATCTTTACTCTATATTTATATTTTTAGAGATTTCTTGCAAATTGCCTATTCTTATGAGTATACATATTTTTAGAAGAAACTAAAATGATACGACACATTTCTAACTCAGTAAGTTACTTCAAGTCCTATACAAATACAAATGATAATCTCTTTTATAAAAAAAAAACAGCCAACTATCAAGATACTTTAATATTTAAGGATTCAGACATAAAGGTTCAGTTAAACTGCCTTTAGTTTGAAAACTCAGTAAAGAAGTTGAGAATACTGAGGATGGATTTCAACAGGAGGCAGTATAGAACTTAACATTGCTTGTATCTCCTTTTGCTTTTTTAAAGTTTCTTCTTAAATAAACTAGGTATGTATTCTGACAGCAAAGTAAATGATATATAGCAAGACGGTTAGGTGGCTAATCCACAGAAAGTTAGTTTTCAGTGTATTCGTTTCATGAGCCCATCAACTGTATCAGAATTCAGATACAGCCTCAAAGTAGTAATGGGCTCAGTTCAAACCACTTCTAAGTGAAGGGAATTCAGAGAATGTGTCTCGGGCTTACACTGTTACAGCCCTAATCACAGGTTTCCCAAAGCCATTCAGGCAGTTAAAGTGCTTGTAAACCATAGTAGGTTTTCCGGTGAATATTATAATTTAATTCCAATATACATCCTAGATTGTTTTACTGTCAGAATACAGTAAGGGATGTAAAAGAAAAAAATCTGGAATCTTTTGAGAAAAAACAGTTGTCAAAGTAAGCATGTTTCTGCTGTATCAATTCTTTATTCAATGATTTTGTTATCCATTTGGAAAGAACATGGCATAGTTTACAGCATGCAAGCGTTCAACAATTTGAGAACTCTGTGGCTTAAAATATATGTATCAGTAACTGGCCATAACTCTACAATAATTTTTCTCCAATAATTTTTAATAGTTCCTAAAATGTCTTAGAGCATTTTCTTGACTTTAATGGGAATAAGGATGATATGCAAGTAAATCTTACCTTGCCCAATCTACTTGTAAAACAGTTCCTGAATGATAGGCGCACGGGGTGGACTTAGAATAGAGAAGCACACTGCAAGGGTCAGAATAATAGATGACAAAGGCTCACTCCAGGACTTGGTTGCAGAAAGGGAAAGGAAAAGTCAGGCTTTAGAGATGTGATAGAGAAAGAAACAGTAAAATTTGAAGTTGAGGAGATGAGTGAGGAATCAAAGAAAATTTCAAAATAGCAACCAAATATGCAATTTATGATTTTCAAGTGATAAAATAAATGGAAGAAATGTTCTGTAGAAAAACATTTACTGTAAGAGCCACCCACAATTTCTTGAACACAAACCATTTATTGGCAAAAGTAAATATAAATGCCAGTTGATTAAGTAACAGAATAATAAAACCACTTCTGAAAGATATTTTTAACTACATGATCCTAGGTATTTTCCAAAACTTAATGCACTATACTCTTTAAAAATTGATAGTGTTGTATTATTAATTCCATGCCTACTTATTTCTAATAGTGTATTACTCACCTCATTTAAAATAATATTCATAAGGACCAGGCACATATTAAGTGCTATGTAAGTATTTGTTAAATAAAAAACCTTTGGCCATCTATCAAAAATAGCATATTAGCATAAAATCTGACTGGCTGAATATACAGTCCTTGTTGGTCTTATGCATATCTTTTAATCTCTGTCCTACAAAATCAAGTCCAAGTTCTTTATTCTGATAAACAAAACCATTCATATTCTAGGACACATCCACCTTTCAGCTGTGGTAAACGAACCATGGTATCTTGACCCACAGATAGCATAGTGACCTGCAGGCCAGCCCCCTAGCTCCCACCCCCGAATCTAGGCTGCTCTGTGGTTCTCTCTAGACAACCTAACGTGACATGACACTTTGCCACCTCTGGGTCTAAACCTTAAGGAGTCCTGACAGCTTCCACTTTTGAGATCCAGCCACCGTGTAAAGAAATGTAGCTACATGGTGACACCGTGTGGGGAAGGCAGGAAGGAGAGAGGGACAGTGAAGTACACAAAGGTTACACAACAGGAACACGGGGGGGCCATGCCTCCTTATAGGGGCAGTCATTGTTTAGCCAGCACTGAGAGTTAAAAAGCTATCGTTCTTCAAAAAAACCCTAGAAATCTGTATTTTTATATGGTATCTGATCAGTGACAAGCAATTCTAATTGTTAAAAAACATAGTATGGACCAACCCAACCCCAAAGGTTAGCCAGTTTGTGTCCTTTTCCCTATGGCCTGTAGAGATCTCTTACACAACCCCTTTGGATTTAATTTTTGCCTCTATACTAATGCTCATAACTGCATCTCCCATCGCAGCTGCTCCTTAGAATTTGAGATCCATGTATACAATTGTCAGCTGTATATCTTCACTTAAATGTGACACAAATAGCTCAAACTTGTTAGGTTCCAAACTGATAACATCCTTGAATCTTGCTTTTGATTCTGTATTCTCTAACTCGGTGGGCTGAATCACCACCCACCTCGAGGTCCAAGCAGCAATCTGAGCAGGCATGGTGATCCTATTTGTTATCCCTTCACCAAAGTGACAAAAACAACTTACTGATCCCATCACCTAAAGATTTTCTGAATTTGCTGTTTTCTGCATTCTCAATGGCACTACCCTGGAATAGCTTCTCATTATTTCTTATCTAGGATATTTCAACAGTCTCTTAATTTTTCTCCTAATCAAAATACTGTCTCCTTTCCAGCTTATTTTCTACACCAATATAAGACTGGCCTTGCAAAGAGACAAATTTCTTGCTTCTATTGAAAAGTTTTCTTCCGATGGCTCTTATGCTTTATGCTCTGGGGCACGGTGTTACATGCAGTTCCCTAAATACAATACACTGTCTCATTTCTCTACAACATAGTATTTAGGATTTCATGTTCTCTAGTTCTGGAAGTCCCTTCTATTCAGCCTTTAAAAAGTAGCTGCTATTTCAGCCTCTCTGTTGCTTCCCTAATCTCTAACCCTACCAAGAGATAGTATGAATCATTTCTGTGTAACATATACATGCTCCTTTTGTTTACATGTTTATTTATTTGCATGTAGCCAAAACAAATCACTCCACAGAAGCTGACTTGGTGCCTGAATTCATAATCTTTTTAAGCCTCCTGTTCAATATTTTCTTTCAGAATAGATATTCAAAATAAAGCATTTGGTCTCAATGCTATTCAAATATTTGTAAGAGCTGCCAAGTTGTCTTGAATCCCGTCATGATCACCATAAAAGCATTAGATAATTATATTTTAATTAAGCGCTTTAAAGCTCTACTCACCCAAAGGTTGATCAGTTGTTTGCTCTTTATTATCTATAAAAAGATCAAAATTAAAAAAAGACAGGTGTTATCATCCATGCTACAAATATCTTCAGAGATGGAGATATATGGAAATAATGATTAATAACATCAGTGGCATTAAAAGGCAGAATGTAGTTTCTAATAGTTAACTTATGATTTTAAGATTTTCAGATTCTTGATAAAAACATATACCTGGATGGACAGAGTTAGAATTAGGGCAGGATTATGTCTTTGGTAATCGATTACCACGGCTGGGGGTAATAATCTTTAATATGCTAGGTGGAAATTGCTCTTTGCCATCTACTGTCTACTGTATGTAAAATGAAACACTGCCCACACTCCGAGGACCACAAAGGAAGAAATGTGGGGAAAGATGGAATTCAGTTAGTAACGTGTCTACTATAGACAGGGTAACACTGTTTGTATTTTTAATAATATATTTGGTACTGGAATAACTTCTCGCAATGTTCACTGAAGGGCAAGAAATAAGAGACCAATTTAGGAAAAGGGAATTCTAACCAGACCAAGAGAAACAACTAGATACATTACTAGGAGGGTTCTCCAACACTACGCAGGTTTGGACGTTTGAAGCCTGTTTCAGTGAAGCTTCCCCTGAACTTAGGGCTCGTACAGCAGGCAAGACATGCTGAGAACAGCAGCCGCCTGGTTTGTCTCATTTACTTTTGTATAATCTCAATCATCACTCACAATAAAGATGTTTATTGGCAAAATATGGGTTTGAAACTAAGCACACTAGTTATGGCGCTAAAATGATGAGAAATAACATGTTGAGAAATGAGAGGGACCTCTATAAATATTAAATGATGTAACTGCCTTCTTAATCTGCTCCTGTGAGGTTTTGTTTTCAGGTATTTTCACAGGTGCTATGCCCATAACCTATACTGACGTCCTCGGTCTATACGAAGTCCTCACTGCTACCATGCCCGCACCTTGGTTAGGCTCTCCCTTTAGCTTAACCTGTTCAGAAATCTGTTCTGATGAAAACTGGCCAGAGAGGTGAATACTCCTGCCAACTGACGGCCTCTTAACTGCACAGTGGCAACTGTCCCTAACACACCTTTTACTTCAGATAAAGACACCCTACTCAACTACTGCAGAGATGTTCTATGGTTGAGCTACCGTGAACAAGGTCTCAGAGGCCTGGCAAATTCAGAAATGTTACCCCATCACTCTTTCCAAGACTGCTTCCTGTCTTGTAGATTAAACATCATGCACTTCCCCTATTAACTACCTTTTTACGATGTAGTCATACACAGAGATGAAAAAATATATTGCTCTTTTATGTTGTCTCAGTATATTTACTTTTCTACCTTTATAGTCCAGAATAGTTCTAGTAATTTTCACTTAGATTGTACTCCATGTAAATACTAATTTCAATCCTAAATTATGATATTATTTAATAAAGAAAAAAGTTAATAGTACCACTATGGTAAAATCTTTTAAGTTATTCTATTTTATAATTTAAAAATCTAAAACTAATGCTTTATGTTTATATTACTCACCAGGATGTCCAAGTGTATTTAATTCATCTAAAATAAAATAGGAAAAAATAATTACCTAAATAATCAAACCACCAATTTAGCATAAAAGAGTAAGACTAAGCAAAGAAGTAGCTTTTGAAATCGTGTTACCATGTTTTTATCAGTTAGAACTTTTCAAATGCCTTAAATGAAAAGCCATGCAAATACTGTATAGGAAAGAATATTATGTGGGTATAATATAATTTAGGACTCCTAAGCTATTATTACTTTCATTAAATGACAAAAAGCTAAATAAGTTCATGAACCATTAATATTGTTCTTTTGTTCTTTGTTCCAGGACCCCATTCAGGGCACCAAGTTACATTTTCTTGTGTCTCCCTGGGCTCTTCTTTGTTGTGACTTTCTTGATGTGAGTTTCCCAGACTTTCTTATTTTTGATGACCTCGATGGCTCTGAGGATTACCGATGAGGCATTTATAGGGTATCTCTCAGTTGGGACTAGTTGGTGCTTTTCTCATGGTTAGGCTGGTGTGATGTGTTTTTGGAGGTACAGTGGTTTCAGAATTGTTAACCTGTACCCTCTGGCTAAAGGACAGATAATATCTAAGCATGTATCCATAACATTATATCCATTTATTTTTTCTTTACAAATGTTATGAAGATAAAAATTAACACTTACTAAAAACTATAAAGTTATACTGTCTGTAAGACGGTAAGCAGGAACTTAGATGTGGGATGAAGCCAACTACAGAGCAGCAGCGCCTAGAGCCCAGAGCACAGGACTACAGGCAATTTCTTTTGCCTTCAGCCTTACAATGCCGCTCATTTCCAGGTAATCACACCAGCACCTTGTTCTTCTTTCCCCTCTTCAGTGAGGTTGCTTCACACATTCATAATACCTCTTGATATCTTTTGTCATATTCTGCATTCTACCTCGGGATCCCCCTCCTCTGACTTTCTATTAAATTGTTTAAAACTTGCACACATGTATTCACCATTACAGTGATCATACAGAATAGTTTCACAGCCCTAGAAAAATCACCTGAGCTTCACCTACTTAATTCCTACACCGTCCTGATTAAATATCTTTAAAAAATACATATAATGAAGTAGATAACATTATGTTTTATAGATAAAAAGAAATATGGTGTAGGACACTTCATGATATGTGTCAATCCACCAAGTATAAAATGTCTTAACTCTAGACTTTTTTAGAAAAAAAGTTGGATCTACTTTGTCCACTGAAATCACAGTTGGATTTTTACCTCTAAGTGTTTTGAACAGACTGATTTGAAATGTGTTATTTAATAGTGTGTTTGCTACTGCAAAAATTATAGGGAGAATCTTGTAGGTAAAGAAGCTGCACAGCAAGGTGATAATTTACATGCACTGCCCTGAAGTTATTTTTCATTGGTTCTTAGCTCTAACTTTAGAAGTTTTAAAAATCATGCAATTGGCAAAAAAGGAGTAAGAGAAGAAAGAAGAGTGGTTAGGATTTCCTCACACAGCTTCCCTCATGCAGGGCCCACAGACCACAGCACTGGCATACTCATGCTAGAGAATTCCTGTTCACAATATACACTGGGATTAAAAACAATAGTAACAGTGTTTCCAAGTGACACCACAGTGACATGAAGGACAGAAAACCAGGAATCATAAAAGATGTAACATTATTTTCTTACTTTACCCAAGTAGAGCCCAAGGTTATATAATAGTTTGAGGAGGCAGAAATTGAAAAAATACTTTGCTATCCATAAACCTAATTTTGCAAAACAATGTGGTATCATACTAAGGGAAGGTAATGTGAGTATCTCATTACAGCTTATGTACACTGCTTTGGTTAATCAAAACAAACTAAAAGCTTATGCTGAAATCAAGTTTTAGTTCTCTTTGCACTTTATAGTAAAGGTGACCTGGTTGATTAATCTACAGCCTTGTAGCTTCAAAAGGGATGTTACCAATTTTATATTAAAACAGAATATTTAATATTTGATAAAACATGTTGAGCAATGAATCTCCTGTCCTGAAACTTTTACAGAAACCATATTTGCATTTGAGAGGCAATCCTGGCTAAAACATGACAGTATAGCTGTCTATCTTTTTAAAAAATTTTATAAAAATAAAAATTTTAACAGTAGGAATTTGGAATTACAAATGATCACTGTTTATAATATATATAGGAACTTCATTCTTATGCACAATAGAAAATCAACTGAAAATTGTTCTAAAATAACATGTCAGTTTAAAAGTGTCTGTGGCAATTTGCAAACCCCAAAGACTAAGATACAATATCCTTCAGGCGAAATTGCTTCTTACAGCCAGTATTTTTTCCATCACTGCACTCATTAGGCTAGAGCACTCCACCAACTCCAAGAGGAACCAGCATGCAGGACACTGGGCTTCAAACCAAAGGATTACACTACCTTCTGTGCACTCCACTGCCTCATTTGTTCTTCCTTGTTCCAGAGAAAACAAACGTGAATATATTGTAATTCATGGTCTTAGGCAGCCAACAAGCAGAGGTAAACATCATAGAAATAGGCTGGCAAACTAACACATGCATCAATAGATCCTACTATTAGTAACAGAACTACCGACGCCTTAAGCTTAAGTTGAACAAATGCCCGAATTACGCACTTCATGAGGATGGTGGAGTATCATGGTTCTTCCCTCTGTTTGTTTGTATTTAAAAAATGTTTCATTAAAATTTTTTTTCCACTAAATAGAGTTTTTATTACTAAAGTTTTAAAGAGTACTTTTTTTTGCCAGAAATATTTAAAATAAACCACAAAATTAAAAAATAACTAGAGATCTAAATAACTTTTCCCAGTTCTTTCTGTTCTTTGCATGTGAGCCTACATTATGAATTTGACATGCATTCTCTGAACTCTCTGTATAAACAATATAACTCCTAATACTAATTCTCCATTAAACAGAATGAGGTATAGTTGTATGTCCACTGCTTAAATGTTTCATTTTATATGGCTGATATTATACTTCATTTGTCAGAACACTGCATAATACTGCTTACCTATGATGATTTCTACCTTCTTGCTATCTTGACTGTCTCGATCATTATATACATGACACCAATAGGTTCCTTGATGTTCCAAATCCACATAAGGCACCTGAATCAGTATCAGAACACACATACATTTCTTTGGCAATTTTAATTGAAATTGGCTTGGAGAAAAAGTTACTTTGTATTTCAAAAAAGAACCCCTAATACACAACATTTTAGAAGGCTTTTGCCATTCTTAGGTTATTTCCATTTGTTAGCAAACAAATGATACAATGACTACAATCATGGTTTAGTATAAGCCCTTAGATGTGGGCTGATGTTTTCCAGTACTTTAACAAAAAAAAAAAGAATCAATTAATATTAAATAACAAGGATAATAAGGGTGAATGTAATAACCACATTGTTTTTCTTGTAAAACCTTCATAAGAGTGTATATCAATGATACCTTAATAAGAAAAAAAAAATTAAAACAAAGATTCTGGAAATTGAAAAAAAAATTAAACAAGGGCCTTGACACAAAAATACTGAAGACAATAAAACATCCCAAAGAATATGAATTTTTAATGTTCACCTTAATTTTCAATTACACAATTTATCTAACATATTAACACAAAGAATACCCCCCAAATCAATTTCCTACCATGTACAGCTTTTTCGTCTCATGTGTTAGTGGTGATTCATTTCGGAACCACTGGTAGTGAGGAATAGGGCTTCCGACAGCAACGCACTGTAAGACCAACGCACTGCCAGGCATCAGCTTCTGGGACTGTGGCTCAACACAGATATGCAACTTGGGTTCAGAGATGCTATCCGGGCTTTCTGAAATTAAAAGAAAAATATCATTGAATACAAATAAAATACCTAGGTAAAAAAAATTTTCCCTTAGACTTGAACAGTGTTTTTAAGTTCATGTTTCATTAATTTTTACAATCTGTAGTGGCATCTCCCAAACTGTTTTATAAAACTGTAGCACTTTTAGAAATATTAAGAAATGCTCTGTGGAAAAAAGGATGCTGTGGACAAATAAATGTAGAAACAAATGTCAAACAAAATTTAACAGAATTTTTAAATTGCAGGATTTCTCAGAGCTTTCAAAGTGTTAGTATGCATCATATTATTAAGAGGAGGAAATAGTTCCAGTGGTTTCCAAATATGTTTGGCTGCAGAATCTTTTTTGGTGGGAGCAAACAAGTTATTAACATCTTGGGTGATACCTTCAACACAGAAAGCTCTACATTCTGCTGTTTGATTTAACCTGACTTATTAAAATAAGGAGTTTTCTTCTTAGCACTGAATAAATATGGATGGGTTATCACCAGTATTTCTTCCAAAGGTAGATATCAGTAAGCAGTATATACTGAACACTCATTTGTTACTTTAAGTTCTTTGAGGACAGAGGACTGACCAATGTTATGCAATACCAAGCCTCCATCATGAAACTCAGTGTCTCACACACTGCAGGTCATCAGTAGTATTTGTTGAATAAGATTCAATTTATAAGACATTAAAGTTCATTACATGCACAGTAACAGTCTTCAAAGACATAATCAATATCTTAATCATGACTATTTGTAGAGACTATTTAGGTATAGGAAAAGCTAACTTGCGAGAGAAGAAAGGCCCAAAGACAGCCTGGTGACAGAAAGGCTTTCCCTCCTGTCCTTTCTTTCAGGCAAAGATAACAAAGCATATGGATCCTGACTGTGCGTGTGAACAAACACAGGAATATCTGATGACTGCTCTTTAGGGTGGACCGTTTTTTTCCTTGATCAATGCTAGTTATTGGACTAAAAAGATGAATGACAAAGAGTAGAAAAATAGTGTGAAGAAATGCTTTACTGCAGCAGATGATACCATATATACCCTTTCATGTAAATAGTAACTCTGTTTCTATTCTGCAACACAATTTTTTTAGGCATAATACAGTGATTTGGGAGAAAAACATACTGTGTCTAAGAAGGAATTGAAAAGTGAGCAAAACTATATTAGATATTTCTTTTCCTCTAAAACCAGAGACTACAACTATAGCATTCAAATCCATGAGAAAGCAAGTTTAAAAAGGTCAGCAGCAGAGCCAGACTGAGAAGGATTCTATATTGTATTAAGGCATCTGCATTAATAAATAAAACACACACACACACATACATGCAGGGACAAAGAGAAAGCATCTGGGATAAAATCGTTAACAACTGTAAGAAGTAGCTTTTGAAATCGTGTTACCATGTTTTTATCAGTTAGAACTTTTCAAATGCCTTAAATGAAAAGCCATGCAAATACTGTATAGGAAAGAATATTATGTGGGTATAATATAATTTAGGACTCCTAAGCTATTATTACTTTCATTAAATGACAAAAAGCTAAATAAGTTCATGAACCATTAATATTGTTCTTTTGTTCTTTGTTCCAGGACCCCATTCAGGGCACCAAGTTACATTTTCTTGTGTCTCCCTGGGCTCTTCTTTGTTGTGACTTTCTTGATGTGAGTTTCCCAGACTTTCTTATTTTTGATGACCTCGATGGCTCTGAGGATTACCGATGAGGCATTTATAGGGTATCTCTCAGTTGGGACTAGTTGGTGCTTTTCTCATGGTTAGGCTGGTGTGATGTGTTTTTGGAGGTACAGTGGTTTCAGAATTGTTAACCTGTACCCTCTGGCTAAAGGACAGATAATATCTAAGCATGTATCCATAACATTATATCCATTTATTTTTTCTTTACAAATGTTATGAAGATAAAAATTAACACTTACTAAAAACTATAAAGTTATACTGTCTGTAAGACGGTAAGCAGGAACTTAGATGTGGGATGAAGCCAACTACAGAGCAGCAGCGCCTAGAGCCCAGAGCACAGGACTACAGGCAATTTCTTTTGCCTTCAGCCTTACAATGCCGCTCATTTCCAGGTAATCACACCAGCACCTTGTTCTTCTTTCCCCTCTTCAGTGAGGTTGCTTCACACATTCATAATACCTCTTGATATCTTTTGTCATATTCTGCATTCTACCTCGGGATCCCCCTCCTCTGACTTTCTATTAAATTGTTTAAAACTTGCACACATGTATTCACCATTACAGTGATCATACAGAATAGTTTCACAGCCCTAGAAAAATCACCTGAGCTTCACCTACTTAATTCCTACACCGTCCTGATTAAATATCTTTAAAAAATACATATAATGAAGTAGATAACATTATGTTTTATAGATAAAAAGAAATATGGTGTAGGACACTTCATGATATGTGTCAATCCACCAAGTATAAAATGTCTTAACTCTAGACTTTTTTAGAAAAAAAGTTGGATCTACTTTGTCCACTGAAATCACAGTTGGATTTTTACCTCTAAGTGTTTTGAACAGACTGATTTGAAATGTGTTATTTAATAGTGTGTTTGCTACTGCAAAAATTATAGGGAGAATCTTGTAGGTAAAGAAGCTGCACAGCAAGGTGATAATTTACATGCACTGCCCTGAAGTTATTTTTCATTGGTTCTTAGCTCTAACTTTAGAAGTTTTAAAAATCATGCAATTGGCAAAAAAGGAGTAAGAGAAGAAAGAAGAGTGGTTAGGATTTCCTCACACAGCTTCCCTCATGCAGGGCCCACAGACCACAGCACTGGCATACTCATGCTAGAGAATTCCTGTTCACAATATACACTGGGATTAAAAACAATAGTAACAGTGTTTCCAAGTGACACCACAGTGACATGAAGGACAGAAAACCAGGAATCATAAAAGATGTAACATTATTTTCTTACTTTACCCAAGTAGAGCCCAAGGTTATATAATAGTTTGAGGAGGCAGAAATTGAAAAAATACTTTGCTATCCATAAACCTAATTTTGCAAAACAATGTGGTATCATACTAAGGGAAGGTAATGTGAGTATCTCATTACAGCTTATGTACACTGCTTTGGTTAATCAAAACAAACTAAAAGCTTATGCTGAAATCAAGTTTTAGTTCTCTTTGCACTTTATAGTAAAGGTGACCTGGTTGATTAATCTACAGCCTTGTAGCTTCAAAAGGGATGTTACCAATTTTATATTAAAACAGAATATTTAATATTTGATAAAACATGTTGAGCAATGAATCTCCTGTCCTGAAACTTTTACAGAAACCATATTTGCATTTGAGAGGCAATCCTGGCTAAAACATGACAGTATAGCTGTCTATCTTTTTAAAAAATTTTATAAAAATAAAAATTTTAACAGTAGGAATTTGGAATTACAAATGATCACTGTTTATAATATATATAGGAACTTCATTCTTATGCACAATAGAAAATCAACTGAAAATTGTTCTAAAATAACATGTCAGTTTAAAAGTGTCTGTGGCAATTTGCAAACCCCAAAGACTAAGATACAATATCCTTCAGGCGAAATTGCTTCTTACAGCCAGTATTTTTTCCATCACTGCACTCATTAGGCTAGAGCACTCCACCAACTCCAAGAGGAACCAGCATGCAGGACACTGGGCTTCAAACCAAAGGATTACACTACCTTCTGTGCACTCCACTGCCTCATTTGTTCTTCCTTGTTCCAGAGAAAACAAACGTGAATATATTGTAATTCATGGTCTTAGGCAGCCAACAAGCAGAGGTAAACATCATAGAAATAGGCTGGCAAACTAACACATGCATCAATAGATCCTACTATTAGTAACAGAACTACCGACGCCTTAAGCTTAAGTTGAACAAATGCCCGAATTACGCACTTCATGAGGATGGTGGAGTATCATGGTTCTTCCCTCTGTTTGTTTGTATTTAAAAAATGTTTCATTAAAATTTTTTTTCCACTAAATAGAGTTTTTATTACTAAAGTTTTAAAGAGTACTTTTTTTTGCCAGAAATATTTAAAATAAACCACAAAATTAAAAAATAACTAGAGATCTAAATAACTTTTCCCAGTTCTTTCTGTTCTTTGCATGTGAGCCTACATTATGAATTTGACATGCATTCTCTGAACTCTCTGTATAAACAATATAACTCCTAATACTAATTCTCCATTAAACAGAATGAGGTATAGTTGTATGTCCACTGCTTAAATGTTTCATTTTATATGGCTGATATTATACTTCATTTGTCAGAACACTGCATAATACTGCTTACCTATGATGATTTCTACCTTCTTGCTATCTTGACTGTCTCGATCATTATATACATGACACCAATAGGTTCCTTGATGTTCCAAATCCACATAAGGCACCTGAATCAGTATCAGAACACACATACATTTCTTTGGCAATTTTAATTGAAATTGGCTTGGAGAAAAAGTTACTTTGTATTTCAAAAAAGAACCCCTAATACACAACATTTTAGAAGGCTTTTGCCATTCTTAGGTTATTTCCATTTGTTAGCAAACAAATGATACAATGACTACAATCATGGTTTAGTATAAGCCCTTAGATGTGGGCTGATGTTTTCCAGTACTTTAACAAAAAAAAAAAGAATCAATTAATATTAAATAACAAGGATAATAAGGGTGAATGTAATAACCACATTGTTTTTCTTGTAAAACCTTCATAAGAGTGTATATCAATGATACCTTAATAAGAAAAAAAAAATTAAAACAAAGATTCTGGAAATTGAAAAAAAAATTAAACAAGGGCCTTGACACAAAAATACTGAAGACAATAAAACATCCCAAAGAATATGAATTTTTAATGTTCACCTTAATTTTCAATTACACAATTTATCTAACATATTAACACAAAGAATACCCCCCAAATCAATTTCCTACCATGTACAGCTTTTTCGTCTCATGTGTTAGTGGTGATTCATTTCGGAACCACTGGTAGTGAGGAATAGGGCTTCCGACAGCAACGCACTGTAAGACCAACGCACTGCCAGGCATCAGCTTCTGGGACTGTGGCTCAACACAGATATGCAACTTGGGTTCAGAGATGCTATCCGGGCTTTCTGAAATTAAAAGAAAAATATCATTGAATACAAATAAAATACCTAGGTAAAAAAAATTTTCCCTTAGACTTGAACAGTGTTTTTAAGTTCATGTTTCATTAATTTTTACAATCTGTAGTGGCATCTCCCAAACTGTTTTATAAAACTGTAGCACTTTTAGAAATATTAAGAAATGCTCTGTGGAAAAAAGGATGCTGTGGACAAATAAATGTAGAAACAAATGTCAAACAAAATTTAACAGAATTTTTAAATTGCAGGATTTCTCAGAGCTTTCAAAGTGTTAGTATGCATCATATTATTAAGAGGAGGAAATAGTTCCAGTGGTTTCCAAATATGTTTGGCTGCAGAATCTTTTTTGGTGGGAGCAAACAAGTTATTAACATCTTGGGTGATACCTTCAACACAGAAAGCTCTACATTCTGCTGTTTGATTTAACCTGACTTATTAAAATAAGGAGTTTTCTTCTTAGCACTGAATAAATATGGATGGGTTATCACCAGTATTTCTTCCAAAGGTAGATATCAGTAAGCAGTATATACTGAACACTCATTTGTTACTTTAAGTTCTTTGAGGACAGAGGACTGACCAATGTTATGCAATACCAAGCCTCCATCATGAAACTCAGTGTCTCACACACTGCAGGTCATCAGTAGTATTTGTTGAATAAGATTCAATTTATAAGACATTAAAGTTCATTACATGCACAGTAACAGTCTTCAAAGACATAATCAATATCTTAATCATGACTATTTGTAGAGACTATTTAGGTATAGGAAAAGCTAACTTGCGAGAGAAGAAAGGCCCAAAGACAGCCTGGTGACAGAAAGGCTTTCCCTCCTGTCCTTTCTTTCAGGCAAAGATAACAAAGCATATGGATCCTGACTGTGCGTGTGAACAAACACAGGAATATCTGATGACTGCTCTTTAGGGTGGACCGTTTTTTTCCTTGATCAATGCTAGTTATTGGACTAAAAAGATGAATGACAAAGAGTAGAAAAATAGTGTGAAGAAATGCTTTACTGCAGCAGATGATACCATATATACCCTTTCATGTAAATAGTAACTCTGTTTCTATTCTGCAACACAATTTTTTTAGGCATAATACAGTGATTTGGGAGAAAAACATACTGTTGTCTAAGAAGGAATTGAAAAGTGAGCAAAACTATATTAGATATTTCTTTTCCTCTAAAACCAGAGACTACAACTATAGCATTCAAATCCATGAGAAAGCAAGTTTAAAAAGGTCAGCAGCAGAGCCAGACTGAGAAGGATTCTATATTGTATTAAGGCATCTGCATTAATAAATAAAACACACACACACACATACATGCAGGGACAAAGAGAAAGCATCTGGGATAAAATCGTTAACAACTGGTGACCTATGTGTTTGGGTGAAATACCCATGTGAGCTTTTGACACTATTTTTGATACTTCAAACATACTTAAAAGTAAACATTTACAATAAAATAAAATAAGCCAATTCCCATCCCAAATTCAACTTAATTTATCACTTACTCTGGAAGCTTCCTGTTACTTCCGTGACGTCACAAACATCCAGCTGTGACCACTGGCTAAATTCAAAGGTGAAATTATTATTAACTCGACAGACATAAAAGCCTGCATCTTTCACATGCACTGTGTTGAAAGTAAGTTCTGATGCATTTCCATTTGGAATCTGTGGAAGAATCAAGACGGAAATATAAGTGAATATAACTCATCAAAACAAGCCTTACAACACATGCTGTGTAAAATGTATCATTTCTTTGGCTTTTTGTAAAACAACTGTTTTTCCAAGTTCTAAAATATTTGTTACTTAAAAAACAAATATTTTGAGTAATTTAGGGCTGAACTTTTAGAAATCCAGTTTTACAAATCCATTGCCAGAAAGTTAAGCTCTCTCCCATGTATTTTCCAAAAACTCAATAACAGAAAAGTACCTGTTCTGTTATTTAAAACTGTTCAATCCTTAGGATTTAAAGAATCTACAACTGCAACATTTATAAGTAGCCATATAGCATGACAAACACTAGGGGAAGTGGAAAGTACATAGAAATTTAGGCCTGGTTGTTAATTTCAGTTCTGACCAAACTAACTGAGTACTGAGTAAATTAGTTCACCTCCAGACCTGAAAATCCTGAAGAGGACAGATTCCTTAACCAATATATTTCTCTCAAGGTCTGGGCCGAAAGGGCTATGGAAGGCACATCAGTGACGGGAAGGAATGGCCACCCAAGGGTTTCCCAAGCTTTCCTCCCTGGGCTTAGGTCAGCATATTAAGGCTTCTTTCACCTTTGCCCCTCCCATCAATGTATCAGTGCCCCCCAACTCTGGCACATTGCCCAGAGGTTTAGTCAAGTGCCTCCTTCTAACAGCTCCCTTTCAAGTACTTAACCAGCTCACCTCCCCTCTCTCCAAACCCCAGCTGGTTTGAATTCCGCCCTCTCCCCCTCAGAACCTGCACCAGGGCAGGAGCACATTGCTAAAGCTCCGACAACTGGAATGGCAGGCTGGACTTAAACCCGCCTGATAGTCCCGCCATGTTAACCCACTAAGCCTGCTTTCCTGTAGACCATAAATGAGTACTTTCTCTGCAAACCTCCTGCAATCCTACTTCTCTCAGCCACCAATTTCAGATAAAACTCCCTCCTTTTCCTGCCACCAAATCCCAAGCCTATCTATGTCTGTACCCATTTATAACTGTTGTCCTCCCTCCTATTAAAATGGTAAATGCATCTTCCTAACAAAGACTACTTGGGTTTAGGATCTGTGGGGATCTAACCCCACAGAATAGCATGAAGCTGAAAACAGGTGGGATTCAACAGAGGCAGAAAGAAGTCTCTGAGCTTCCCCTCTCTGAAGTTCACACTGCCATAAATTTCCTCTTCAGGACGTCTTTTATTCCCAGGAAGGAGAAGAGTAAACCTACTCTAATCCCCTCTCCAGGGGTGTTTTATGGCCATGAAGAAGGAAAGATCACCTGCACCTGCATGAGTGAACATTGCCACAGACTTTCTTATCTCCTGTCTATTCTTCTAGAAACCCCTGTGTTATTTACTAAAGAGACCCATTTGTTCTTCCCATAGAGGCCTTTTCTCCCTCCTCCCTTTTCCCTACCAAGTTGGGTATGTAAGCTGCTAACTTTAACCATTCATGCAGCTACTTTATTTAGGTTCCCTTATGAACAGACTTTTTCTTTTGTTAATATGTATTCCGTTGGTTATCTCACAGGCCCCTAGAAAGTGAACTTAAGAGGGCAGAGGGAAAGTTTTTCTTCTTCGACAGTCCCATCCTCTCCAACTCTGCTCTTGGAATTTTCTCTCTCTGCTTTGCATCTTATTCTTTCTTTTATTGTATCACTGTCAAAAACACTCTAGTATGTTGTATCTGAAATATACCTAAACAAACCTCCCTTGATACCCCTGCCCCCAGCAGCACTGGAAATGCTGACTACCCCTTTCTTCTTGAAATACCTTCCCTTTTAGGCTTCATACCATCCTCCCCTGGTTTTCTTTCTCTCTCTGTTGCAAATTCTTAGCCTCTTTATTGGTTCCTCCTCCACTATATAAACTTTCAAAGTTGTCTCTTCAGATATATTCAAACTGCTGAGCCAGTTCATTTGGACGTCTAAACAAGCATTTCATACTAACATGTCTAAAACCAAACTCCTGATTTTTCTTCCCCTAACTATTCCTCTCCTAACCTTCAACACCTTGGTACGTGACATGTCCCCGGATTCTTAAGTAAAAAAGCTAGGGGTCATCCTTCATCTCTTTCTTTTTCCTCATGGTCCATATCTAATCCCTTAGATCTGGTTAGCTCTACCCTAAATAAACTGACTGTGCACGCTGACCCATCTCCATTGCCATACCCGAGCGCACACTTCTCCTGTTTTGAGTCTAGCACAGGCATTAGATAGCTGGTCATCTTGCTTTTCTCTTGCTTCCCTTCAAGTAGCAAGTTTGTGTCTTAAAAACATAAATCTTATGTTCTGCATAAAACCTTTAGTGGCTTCTCACTTTACATGATCCTGTTCATTTTCCTTACAGTTCTCAACTCATAGTGTCATCGTATTTGCTTGTTCTCTCTCTCCACAGAGTAGGTGGCAGGGCCTTGGCATATCAGTGCTTACAGTGTGGCCTGGCACAGGACAGGTGTGCATCAGGTACTCATTAAATGAGTACCTCATAAAATAGACCATGAATGTAAGAGTGGTTTGACAAAACTTTAAAATATATTACAACTCTTCAGACATTTCTACCAGGACATATTTTACAAATGATACAGTTTGTGCAGTAAGTTTTATCAATTATTTCTTCTTCAAACAGCATTTATTAAAATGAAAGCAACTTCACAATTGAGATAACATGGTAAAATAACTATAGTTATTGTCTCTCAAAAGCCTAGGCACATGCCATACATATCCTGCTAAATTTTCACAACCCCTGACAACAGGAATTCACATCACTGGTATTGATAGTCAAGGATCCAACACAGTCCTGTCTAACATCAGAGCCTGCATGCAATCTTTTCACTAGTTTAACAGCTGCTCTACCTTACCTGTGTGGAAGGGACAGACATAAAAACTTGCATAAAGCTATACATATTTTTTTCTAAGACACAGCGATCCCATTAAAGACTGTGATCTTAGAATGGCTGTTTAACCTAGTTCCAGGTTTGCAAATGTAGACTTAGTATTGAGTTTAGAAGGAAGCTTAGAATAGCAGGTGGAAAGAATATGGGATTTCAAGGTACCTTCTGGAAGGAAAGGGGTGAAGGGAATGGATGAAGAAGAAGGGAGGAGTCCACGGAAGTGGGATGACATGGGCCAGCCAAGTTGGTGAAAAATCCCCAGGTGGAGAGGGGCTCAAACAACTTTTAAGAAAAGAGAATTCTAGTACGTGATTAAAATTACTTGTTGGGTGATGCAGGGATGCAATACTTCCTGCAATGGAAGTAAGAGGGGGGAATAAATGCCCCCGCACCAATTTTAGTTGTACTTCAGAATCGACCATAATAGCCTAAATCTTTTGATATGACACAATTAAGTAGAATGCTTAAAATAATATCATGCTAGTCTTCTGTGTAACCTTGAAAATGTTTTAATTAAAGATTTTAGTTGAAACATAATTTGTTTTAATGAGTTCTGTGTAGATATTTTAGAATGTAATGGTGATGTTTCCTATTTGTTAACATTGTTGCTCCAACTAATCCCTATTTTCCTCAATATCTAAGGGTAGAGAATTGATTTTAGTATTGTTTATAATTTTTTTATAACGTAATTTTGGAACTTTCCTACCAAAATTATTATTGAATAGTTCAATAATACAGCAATGCCTATCAGATCAAAACTCCTAAAAACACAATGAGGATAATAATGCTAATTGATTTTCTATCATTCTTTCCTCTATGACACTTAAAGCATTAAAAGACATTTTAAAAATTACCTCTTTATTCATTTTGAACCATTGATATTGTACAAAAGGATGTCCAGTTGCCCGGCAACACAGTTTCACAAACTGTCCAGCCAAGACTGCCTTTGATTCGGGGTTTACAGTGATCTTTATTCCTTAAAAAAAAAAAAAAAAAAAGTCACAGAAGAGCGGCTTTCCTTGTTTACATTTCTGAAACCAAAAAAAGTAGTGCTGTGGAAATAACCTGCATATTTATCCTTGTTATAATTCAACAAATTCATAACTCCTTCCCCATCAGATTGAGTTGTGAGTTCCAGGCTGTGTAAAACCAGGAGGAAAGAAACTCTTGCAGAGTCCTTTGATCTACTGCACTTTCCACAGTTGTGGGAGAAAACTGTCATTTTCCTCAATTCTTCGAAATATTATTAACACATTCTAAAACCTCTGAAATCAGGATGCAACTTACAACAGATGTCTGCCGGACAGCATCATAATGCAGTTCTCAGTACTAGCTCTTTGATTACTTGGTCATAAATGCTCAGATGGCCGGCACTTCAGCTGAGTTCAGTGCACTGTGAGCAACACAATGAGTTGAAATGACAGTGAAAATGTCTTTAAAAGACACTTGGATTTCAGTGCTATGATTCAGCATTAAAATGAGTTTTGTAAGCAGAAAGGCACAGAAACATTACAGCAGAATATAAATTTAATATGTGCTATAAAACAGTTTTTATTTGAAAAATGACTATCAGCCAAAAATGTTGGAAAACTTTTTGGCAAGCGTTTCAAAGAAAATCCTGGAGTTGGTTAACAGAATTCCCTTCCCTTCCTCTCTCCTGACTCTCTCTCAATCACTCCCTTAGGGGAAGCCTGCTGCCATGTCACAGGGGCACTCAGGCAGCCGTGCGGAGAGGCCCAAGTGGTAAGTAAAGAAACTTGGGCCCTCCACCCACAGCCACATGAGCAAACCATCTGTGAACAGGATTTCCCAACCCCAGTCAAACCTTCAGATGGTGGCAGCTCTGGTGGACAACTTGGTAACTACCTCATCGGAGGCCAAAATCTGAGCCAAAACCACCCCCCAAAGCCATTTCTGGATTCCTATCCTCAGAAACTGTGAGATAATAAATCGCTATTTTAAGCTTTCGGTTTTGTAGTAATATGTTTGTAATAATAGGTAATTGACACAAAAGAAACCAAAAGTTAGGAAATTTTGTATTTGCCAAGGTTATAATATATAAAACTGGGTGAATGGGCTTTCAGGAAGGAAGGAGAAAGGATCACTAAAACTTATACAACTTAATTTGCTGTACCTTTTTTTCCCTCTCATCTATTCTGAATATGATCTCATAATGGTATCTTTTTCCTTTAAAACCCACCAACCCAAAAGAACAAGATTGCAAATGAAGAGGAGTTAGTCTAAATTATAGCAATCTTAAGACAGCAAAGGTAGTAAACTTTCTAGGAAAAAAAATGGTATGTAAGATAAAATGGGTATGTGAAATCCATGCTAGAAAGATACCAAATAAAACCCAATCTAAAATTAGTAGGTATTTATTGCATTTGAGGGTCTGGGGAAACCCAAGAAAAATTTTAATAAATAGAGTAAAGCCTTGCAAAAAAGAATTTAAAACTTCTGCCAAGGAGAGTTTTCATGTTTACCAATTCTTTATGCTGATGTCAAGTCAGCACATGATAGATGAACTAACAGTTCTCCTAAATTCTGTAATTCATGTTGGTAGAAAAGTACATGCTGAAGTTAGAAAATGGGAATAGCTTTCTTGCTTAAGTTACCAAATTCATACACTCTATTTTAGTGCTCCCATATGCCATTCATCTGCCAGGAGAGATTTATATCATAACATTAAGATACAAAGATTCCGCAAATAATCCTACAATTCATATGGAACCACAAAAGACTCTGAATAGCCAAAGCAAGAAGAACACAGAGAAAGAAGAATAAAGATGGGGGTATTATGCTCCCTGACTTTAAGCTATGCTACAGAGCTACAGTAATCAAAACAGTATGACATGGGCACAAGAACAGACCCTTAGGTCAATGGTACAGAATAAAGAGCCTGGATATAAACCCAAGCATATATGGTCAATTAATATACAATAAAGGAGCCATGGATATATATGGGGAAAAGGCAGCCTATCCAACAACTGGTGTTGGTAAAATTGGACAGCTACATGCAAGAAAATGAACCTGGATTACTGTCTAACTCCATACACAAAAGTAAACTTGAAATGGGTCGAAGATCTAAATGTGAGACATGAAACCATAAACCCTTAGAAGAAAACATAGGCAAAATCTCCTGAACATCAGCATGAGCAATTTTTTCCTGGACACATCTCTTTGGACAAGGGAAACAAAAGCAAAAATGAACAAATGGGACTGCATTAAAAAAAACAGCTTCTGTACAGCAAAGGACATCATCAGGAGAAAAAAAAAGGCATCCTACAATATAGGAGAACATATTCACAAATGATTTATCTGATAAGAGGTTAACAACATACAAAATATATAAGGAAATCATATGTCTCAACACCAAAAAAAAAGAAGACAAATAACCCGATTAAAAAATGGGCAGAGAAACTGAATGGACATTTCTCCAAAGACAAGATGCTTCACATTGCTAATCATCAAGGAAATGCAAATTAAAACCACAATGGGATACTACCTTATACCAGTTACAATGGCCACTATACAAAAGATAAGAATTAACAAATGCTGATGAGGATGCGGAGAATGGGAACCCTTCAACACTGTTGGTGGGACTGTAAATTGGTGTAGCCAACTGAAAAGCAGTATGGAGAGGCCTCAAAAATTAAAGAGAAATAGCACATGACCCAGTAATTCCAACTCTAGGTATTTACCTCAAGAAAACTAAGTCCCTGATTTGAAAAGATATATGCACCCCTATGTTTATTATCATGTTATTTACAACAGCGAAGACAGGGAAGCAACCTGTCAATAGATGAATAGATAAAGTAGATATGGTACATATACACAATGGAATATTATTCAGCCATTAAAAAAGAACTCCTGGCATTTGCAACAATATGGATGGACCTAGAGGATAGTATGCTAAGTGAAATAAGCCCATCAGAGAAAGACAAATAGCATATTATTTCACTTATTTGTGGTATATTAAAACAAAACAAAACAAAATGAACAAAATAGCACTATAGCACTAGACTCATAGACACTGAGAAGTGACTGGTGGTTACCACATGGGGGAGGGTTTGGAGTAGACAGGTGGAGAGGGTGAGGAGGATAAAGGGGTACAAAAATTCTCAATCATAGTAGTTAGTCACAGGGATAGCAGTACAGCATGCAGAATATAGTGAAAGATCCTGTAACTGGACTAGCTGGGGTGAGGATTTAATAACATGGGTAACTGTTGAACCACTGTGTTGTATACTTGAAACCAATATAAGACTGCATATAAATGATACTCGAATAAAAAAAAGATACAAAGATTCTGATTAGGTATAAAGTTGTAACAACAAAAGGAGGGAACATAAATCTCAAAAATATAGGAAATGTGTCTAAACTGGCTTTAAGATGCAGATGTCTTACAGCCATCTCAAACTTAACATGTCCCCAATCCCTCCCAAATGAAACATCCTCGGGGACCCCAGAGTTTTCCCCACCTCAGGAAAGAGAACCCAGTTTCCAGCCTACCTTCAAAGGTCAAGTTAACTCAGGACAAAAACCTGGCAGTCATTTCGGAATCCCTCCTCCTTTTCCAAGTCTCCCCATTTCCAATGCCTCAGCTCATCTGATCTATTGTTACAGCTGCGAACTTGTTTCCTTGCTTCCAACCAGGAGCCCAAATGTGTTTTTAAAACACAAACGAATCCACATCATTCCTCTAATTAAAACTCTCTACTGACCTCCCATTGTACTTAGGATAAAATCCAACCTCCTTACCACGGCTTACAAGGCCTACATAAACGGCCCTCTCTGACCCATCCCCTACCATGCTCCCCCTTGCCCACCGTCCTCCAGCCACACGGGTCCTTTCCTTTGGAAGCCAAGCTTTTTCTCCCTTTCACTTACTAGTTCTCTGCTGGATTTTCCCCATCCCCTGCTTCGTGGCATTCTTTCTAGTCACCTAGGTCTCAAGCTTCTCTGGGAAACGTATCTACATTGGCTACTCCCTCACCCCCCCGTTTTCTATTACATTCACCATGCTTTGTAGTCTTCACTGCACTAATTACATGGAATTCCTGTTTCTTACTATTTGTCTCACCTACTGAACTAGAAGCTCCATGAAAGCAAGGGCCCTGTTTTGTCTTAGTCACTGGTTTACCCAATGCCTAGAACACTGCCTGGCATTGGGGATACAGTGGGTGTTCAACATGTATTTGTTGGGTGAATGTGTATAATAATAAAAATTACTATAGCAGCTATCTGCTGACTGCTTTATATATATATGCTGGGCATTTTGATCTCTAACTTTCAAATTAACCATGAGTTAGATATTGATTAGATCTATGTTAGAATGAAGAAAATGGAGTTAAGTAACTTGCAGGTCACCCAAAGTAAACTACTTAACCTCTCTGAGACTAATTTTTTTTTATAAAATGGGAGAATCACGATGCAAGCCTACATTTGCTCAGGCTTCAAATCCTCATGCTTTTGTTATTTTCACTGATTCTTTCACCCTCCACCTTTGTGAGGTATAATTGACAAATAAAAACTACATATGAAGGGTGTACAACGTGTGATTTAACATACGTATACACTGTGCAACGACCACCACAGTCAAATTAATTGCCATGCTCATGACCTCACATGGTTATTATCATTTTCCAGCGATTCTTAATGCATCTGCCACACTAATCCCATCTTCTGCCACAGTGAGCCTTTCACAAAGGGGAGTTCAGACAGAGTGCCATGTCCTGCCCCATGACAACACTTATAAATTTACCATGGCAAATATTCTCTACTATTGTGCAGAGACAAGGAACAAGACTGATGGAAATTAAGGGGCTTTCTTGAATGACTAGTGGAAAGGGCCCCTATGGCCAGGATGTCCTACAAAGTATCCTCGTTCTGTGTGGAAGAAAAGGGTAAATGATTTTTAATGGACTTTCAAACTCAGTTGATACATCTGTTTCTATGCACAATTTTAGTAGCCTA